GGGGAACATAACCTCAAAATTTCAACTTTCTATTTTTTTCTCGTTCTCGAGTTATCAATTTTCTCGCCAAAAGTCTCAGCTCCTCGTACGCGAGGCCCAAACTTACGTGAGGGTTAGCGGTTCTGGGGTGGCACTTAGCCAGGGAACCTGCTAGCAAAACTTGGCGCTGGAACTTGCTTGGATGATGGGTTGAAATACCCGGACAGACGAATACGAACACACACACAGACAGGGTCGTCGCAATATACGTTTTTGCAATTTGCATATAGGCATAAACGCACAAAAACTGATAACCATGTACCTGGAGCCCATGCTGCCCTATAATGCAACACCTTCATCCTAAACGGCAGCTTATCTGCTACATGCCGGAAAAGGCCAATAAGAGCCTATGTGTTGGGCTGCAGCGCAGGGATCATTCTTGTGATTGGCGATCTGCGAGTTTAGTGCGAAAATGCATGATCACACTGACAAGCCTGTTGTATTCCAGCCTAGGTTTTTAGCTTTCGCTTCATACAAAAACTGTTTAGTTAACAGTTCTTAAATGTTCATGAATAAAACATTTAACAACTATCGGCTAAAATGTATTGAATTTTGAATTAGATTTACTTCAGTTATTGGATCTTACGGTTTTACTTTAGATCCCCATTAAAAAAAAGATTTGTTTGTGTCTTTTGATATTGTGAAGACTTGTTTGTGTTTTTTGATATCACAGGTTTTTACCATTGATGATGTAACGTGTGCCCTTGGAAATTGCATAACTTTTCTCCCCTTAGCAACTTCACCAACATGGAGTGACTAAACAAGGGTAGTCGTGGTATTCTTGATAAGGCAGCTAAAAAAACAAAACTTAGTCGAAAGCGCACCGGCTGTCGGTGCGAAGGTGCGTTTTTTGCACAGTTCCCTAGCAGGCTTTTGTGCTGATCGCACTGTTTTTTTCCGGCAGATGTTTCTGGCTAAGAAAATTAAGAGTAGTCACCACTACTGTTAGAAATTGTTACAGTGACTCCCAATCTACACTCAAAAAAATCCAGCTCTCCAGATGCTTCGGTTGCAAAGTTACATCAAATTTCACGTGTTTGTACGTGAGTGGCAACGTGAATACTTTCTTCGCCTGCGGTTGCTCAAGCGCGATTCTGGGTAGCGCTCAGAAACTTTCAGCACCGTGCTGCTCTGGTTGCGGAGTTACGTCAAATATCACATGTCCGTGCGCGAGTGGCAACTTGAATGCTTCTTTCGGCTGAAGTTACTCAAACGCGGTCGTGGGCAATGCTCACAAAATTTCAGCGCTCTAGCTGTTTTGGCTGCGAAACTTAAGCCAAATTTCGCCTATGAAGGCATTAAAGTGATGTGTAAGTCGTTTTTACACCCGTCTGGTCAAAGACCACTGCCGGTTATGATCAGAAAGTTTCAGTCCTCTAGCTGCTTCAGTCCTGAAGTTACAAAAGCGCATGCGTGAAATTTTCATGTGCCCGTACACAAGACGCAGATGGGCTGGAAAAATCAATTAACTTTCACGGGCACAACAGTGGGCGACAAGCAAAGCTGCAAAATTGCAGCTCCATAGAGCTTATTGGTCACTTTAAATCAGACGTTGCATAATGCTATTTTAGACTTTGAATGTGCGTACGTGAGACCTAGGGGAGCGTGAAGGCTGAAAAATCTTTGAATTAGACGCGGCCAAGGAACGTCTTTGTGAGTTCTAATTTCCTAACTCACGCCGTTTCCGAAGACGCTTTCCTGCCAAAAGGCTTTCACTTACCCATACGTGAGAACCACGCGGACCTGAGCGTCCATTCTGAGGATAGGAGCTCGCACGTATTTGTAGGTTACCTACCAAAGTTCGAAGACAAAAACTCGTTATAAACGCGCACACAGACACACATAAACACACACACACACGCAGACAACCCCTTGATCATATGCGTTTTTGCATTGCATAGAAGCAAAAAAGGCATAAAAATTGCCCGTTGCTCTAAGGAAACAAAGAGTCGGAATTCTCTCTTCTACCTGGACTTTTCAAGGATATTTAGTTAGAAAAGCTCAATAATCATCAGGACGCTCAACGGATGCTTCTAGTTAAAATGATCGAGATAATACTTGGCCAAAACATGCAAATACTTCAGAAAAGCGTAAATCTTAAAAAAACGGTTGAATATTTCGATCATGTGCAGTATTGATTGTATCAACTGAGAATATTAGTAGGGCAGCATCCTGGTAGCCAAAAACTGCGCCTAGTACTACTACAGTTTTGCTCCATTATCTGACAGATATGTGAAACCAATGGAAACTTTGATAAAGCCTAACATCGGCATTGTGATGAGCCGCTTAAAAATTCGGCATTCCAAGCTACTTGAAGGAATGACAAAACTTAGTTTTTTGTAAGGAAAATTATTTCGCCATTTTTGCCATTTTTTCCAAAAAATTATGCCAAATGTTCATTATTATTATTCTTATTGTTATTATTAATGACGCTTTTATATTATTATTGCCATCATTATTCTTGTCGTCATTATTATCATCATCACTGTTACTATTATTGTTTTCGACATAAAAGGAGTTTTGATGATAATCCCGAATCCTACACGTAATTTTATAATAAGGCATTATTTTTGATAAATTGCTCGATCATTTGGTGTTTCATTGTCATGCATATTTTTGCCACCGAGGCAGCATCTGAAAAGATAATATCATCCACAAAAAATCTAGAGCACCACAAGTCGATACAAAATCATTCTGACTTTTCTTCAGTTATTTTCTTTCAGCCGCTGTTAAAAAATTTCGGTATATAGTTGCCGTGGTGTTTACAGAACTGGCAGTTCTTATTTTTACGTGACTTTCGAAAGCCATAATTTTTATTTGCAATTTGTTGAAAGAGTCTTTGACAATTCGAATATACAAAAAAGTTTAAACTATAAACGTAAATACGGTAGAGCGACAGGTCACGTCAAGCAAGAGTGATTGACTCAATAAAAAGCTTTAAGCAGTTTTTTTGTAAAAACCGTTAAAGATTCCTCATTTTTCTTCAGGAGAGCTGATGCTTTTGCCCAACACCATTGCTAGCCGTGCTTTTTTACCTATTCAAATAAAAGTTACGCAGGTTTTTTCCTTGTCAGTTGAAGCGGTATTGTTTTCTCCTTTTTGGAATTAAAGGTTAAAAGAAAATATCTGCTGTATTTGCTTCTTCACCTTCATTTTTTTCGAATTTAGTTTTTTTTTGATTTCCAAAAACTGCTATGTACATCTCATTTTAGTGATTATAGTGGGGTGCTCCCAGCTGCGCCAGGTCACTCGATTCGAGGCTGCATACTTCTAGTTAGCACCAACTGCCTTTATATTTTTTCACGTAAGAGGTTTTTTCACATAAAACGCGTTTCACGTTTCGATGTGTGCATAATTTCCCTTCGGAGGTGGGCTGGGTGGCCATATTTGCAACCGAGTAAGTCAACTCGACAAATTTGACAACAAAAAAATTTGTTTTTTTTTTTGAGAATCAACCGCGAAACAAAAAAGCAAGCAGTTCAACTATAGAGTTATAATGATAGAATTCATCGAAACTGACAACAGTCACAAAACAATTACAAATTATAATTTTCATGAATTTTTTTGAAAATTCTAATAACAATCAAACTTTTTTGAGCTCATTTTTTGTGTGGTAAAAATTAAAAAGTTTAGAGCTGAATTTTCGGTAGAAGCGGGTGAAAATGTATGATGTTTTCGGCCAAGTCCACAGCTTAATTCTTTTTTTCTTGAGGAGTGATTTAGAATTTTTTAGCTCCCAAGTGTTAACACTGATCTTGCAAGTAAAAGGCGTGCTAAAAATTGAATCTACAAATTAGTAGGCCGAGCAAATTCTTTCAACCGACTGCGAAATTCGGTTAACAAGTCCAAAATTGCATTAAAAAGCAAGAAATGAGCTCAAAGCCCATTGCTATAAGGTGAACATACAGAATGCTTGTTTTACATAGCTACTTTTACATACGACATAAAGCTGCATTATTTTTAATATCTTCCTAGTCAGCAAGACACCTCAATGTAGTCTAACAGTGACAACGCTTGAGACGAGGGGGTGATGCTGAGCTCAAACCAAAGACATCCAGAAACATCGGGGAAGAATCAAAACACCCGGGCAAATAGTTATGGGACTTGTAAAGCTTCGCCCGGCATATATAGCTTCATCCGGCATGTGGGAACGGCATACTAGACCTCCAGTCCTAGACTGTATAATTCCGGTTAGCAAATACTCACTGTTCGACTATGTGCGCCACCCGACTGATCGATTATCTCAGTTGCATTTTGCGCTCTCGCCTGTTCTCACTGATATCCTGTAGATTTCCTTACAATTATGTTAAACGCTATTTTGCCCTCACTTTAAAATTTTAATTTTATCGTTTCTTTTTTAGCAAAACTCCTCCATTCGGTATGACACCTGGCCTTACTATATGCATACTTAACGGTTTGCTTCAATATATTTCAACAATTAATATTATAGGTTATCCCCAGCGTCAGTTATCTCTATCTCCTTATGGAACCAACAAAACCGTCTGCAGCAAAACCTTACTTTCCCTATCATATCATTACTACTCATCTATAACACTTCACTACTAACATGCATTACACAATTAGTTTAATCTTAATTCCTACTAACTTCAGTTACCACAATCCTCATGACGGCGAGCTCCAGTCTTAATAGGAATGTATACGATTTAATGGACTGAAACAATTTTTACCATTACAATAATTCCACAAATTTTCTAATTCTCATTTCCTACCTTCTTTTTGATTCTTCTGTTATTTCATTCTTTCTTATTACAACTCTCTGTTGCTGTGTATTGACTAATTACGATACCATTTTGGCTGATTTTCGTACCTACTCAACAAAATTTTTCCTTATCAAATCCATTTCAGTTTGCCGCATTTTCACCCCGGTATCTTCAGTCCCGGGATTTGACAACACTACGGAATGCGGATTTCTCTCTTGCAGAAGACGCGAAATTTGTGTGCTAGCTAGCATTCTTATCAAACCACTCCTGAACACTTTGGCCTCGGGTCATCCGTGGTCCAGGTAAGTCACCATACATTTTATCATCGAACGTCCAGTTGTTGTCCAAAGCCCGCTCTCGCACTTTTTTATAAATACAAAAATAAGCAGCGGGTTGTGTTTTGAAGTGAAATTTGTGTGCCACAAGATGTGGTTTTTTGAGTAGCCAGACGATATCTCGAACACCAAATGCACAAGAATCGGACACTAACCTACCTGAAAGTACACTCCATTATCAATTCGAATTTGATTTCAAGTTTTTGGTCCCGCCTTTGCAGCCAAGGACGCTATTCAGGGTTTCGTTATTCAGTAGTAAAAGTATGAGATTACACACACATACATACATACAAGCGCACAAACACACACATTCATACATACAAACACAAGGACAAGGTGGAAATACACACAAATATCCCCACCTGCATTCATAAAACATAAAAAGGCAAGTGCATACAAAAAAACACATACACAAATACGCAAACATCAAACGCATATCCACATATGATCAGCTTCTGATGCACTTTCTAACTGCAACACAAAAACACTTTAAAAGGAGAAGCGACTGTAAAAGTATTTCGGAAGAGCATATAAAACTTTTTAATCAAGTATAAGGATTATCAAAATCGCCTGGACGTTCACCGCCAAGATCTGATTTTAATGCTCTGCTGCGAGTTGAGTCAGCTGTATGGGGCCTGATAGCTCATTCACATTCCTCCAGTTGAACTAATTATCTGCTAATTAATGCTTTGAATTCCTGTCAGAATTTCACAAAGTTAAAAGCCAAAACTCTTCATCTGTTTGCTCACTGTCGAAGGGGGAGGCACTCGAGAAATAGTCGGAGTACTAGCAAGTGCCGACAGTAACTAGTCGCTGACAAGGCTGTCTGTGTCACCATCTTTCGATGTTTCCTACAAGCAAGTTGATGGGGACGGGGGGAAGTGGGGTTTGATTCCCTGGTATACGGCAGCACCGATTTACCATGGGAAGGAATGAGCGAAAGGAATGGTTATCTCATGGATGGGAGTATGAAAGAAAAGAATATCATCACTTCCATGAAAAGTCCTATCTTCCATACTCCTTGAAAAGCTGAGATTAATCACAAAATCATGTAAAAGAGTAGGCTTGCTTTTTCGACCACTACCTTTCTACACCCACTATGAATGCGTCATATATTGATGTGCTTTAGCGGAGGTTTCTGAAAAATACGTACCAGTGCAGTTTTCTCTCCAGTGGTTACGCCACAACTGATATCGCGAAATATAGTAATCCGACTTTTCTGCGTCTATTCCTGTCCGTAATTTTCTTTTATGCTGAGCTTTTTTAGTCATTTTCAAGAATTTCGTCCCGTTGAAACCTCCCGGCATGTCGATTACTGCAAACTCATCTCTTATTATTTCCACTTCTTTAAAAAACTTGTCATCCTGAGTTGATTCAAAGAGTATTGTTTGTAAAAAAAATTTCCTTGCGTCTGATAGTTTGATCAAATCTTGTTTCGCCGCCGCTTTTTGTACTCGCCCTTGATGCAGATGGCAACTTCTTCTGCGCGTTCTTTGCACTCACTTTTGTTCATTAAATTACACTAGAATATAGATAGAAGTTGTTCATTAAATTAAATTACAGTAGGACTGCAGCACTTTTAGCGCTGATATTACGATTCCTAAAAAAGATCTAACAAAATTAGTATAATACTGATGATGATTTAAGTATATAGTGTTAAATATAACACAAATACTTATAGAAACGGGTAATAAAATTAATGCAGCATTAATATTAAATCAGTAAAAATAATGTACCAGAAAATAATTAAATATTAAATATTTTGCTTCATTCATCACAACTGAGGTGAGGTCAATAATGCCACTGCAGGAATGAATTACTCAGAAACAGCATGAGTTGTAGCACATGCCCAGCAACAACAACCTTCTGGCATTAATCAGTGCATTCCCCACTCTTTCTCGCATCCGATGTATTATCTGTGTTTACAGGTAAGGGATGAAACACAGAAAGCAAACTTGCCTGATCGTTTCGAATATACAAAATTTCAAGAAACCTTACCAGGTATTTCTAAAACACCTGCCGAAGGCTTTCCCTTCCGAAAATTACGAGTTTGACGTCATGGCATGCGCCATTACCAATTTATCGAAGTGGGAGATGAGATATATGTAAAAATAAAAAAACAAATAAAAGCTAAAACGTACTGCCCTGATTTCCGGTTACCGTAACCCAAAACGACTCGTCAGGGCAATTTCCTGTCCGAGCATCTCGTACATATTCATAAATTGCTTGCCCTTTCTGGCTTTTTGCAATAAATTCGGCCGACTGACGGCTGAATGTCGCCGAGAGACTCGATTTAAATAATTTCACGCCAAAAGGAATTGGCTTTGGCTGCAAAAAAACATGGTGCAATAAATCAATTAATTCAATTAGTGGAATAAATCCTACACACTCTAAGAATTCAAAGGTGTAGAGCTCATGACCGAGGGACCTGGCATAGCTGCATTTGGCTTGTCGGAGTATCTCAGTAACACCGCCAAAATGGAATACCGTCACTTACTGCCCAGGCGGTCTTCGTATTCTTGATATATGAAAAAAATAGTTAATTAAAAATAATCTTAATTACTATGCCAAACCGGTACTCGATGTGGGGAGATCTGCTGCCAGCTGCGCTATTAGAATTTATTCAAGACTAGACTTTTTCATCTTGTGCTGTGGGGTGTTAGTTATTAGCCGCCGTCTGTACTGTGTATGCTTACCATTTCTTCTTATTACAGGCATCAGTTGAAAAATAATAGGCGGATTCCCCATCTGTGAATTTGGAAGCCTTTCCAGTGCTTTGACCAATGTCCCATCGCTCAATGGTCAGGTCAGCCTGCTATTTGCCTTGACTATGTGCGTATGAGCAGGACGGAAAAACGCTAAATTGCTGCATAATTTCTTAAAATGTGCGAAATATTCGGAATTTCAAAGGCTGCCTATTTCTATCTGGAGAAGGCTGCTAAGTGGAAATGTGAGTTGAGCTGGAAAATTACCGTAGGGTTGGGACGCTCCTTTCGCCACAAACGTTTCACCTCGGCATTGAAAGAACCGTTCAGCTTCTTGAAAATGCGAACCATTTCGCGATTTGTTTTCAGCGGCAAATCCATACCAGATAAATACTGCAAATATATAACATAACTGCTTGACTATAACCCAGGTTGGAACGCACCGGGCAGGCCCCATGCTTGCGTTTTTGCACCGGACACAAAGTACTCAGGCCATTATCTGCACGAATGTTTGTTGCTTTACACCTACCTTTTGCGGTCATTAGCATAAATCACCATAAATTTTGCATA